GCCCCCCGGGCCAGTGGTCCACGTGTCGGAGCAGGAGGTGAGGCTGAGGGGCCTGCCGACGCCCCCGGGGCGGGGACCCTCACAGTGAGCCCAGGTGCCCAGCCTGCCTCGCCCCTGGGCGACCCTTCGTGGCTCAGGGCAGAGGGAACACATGGCACGGGGCACCCCGACACCCCAACCCCGCGTCCACAGGCTTCCTGGCCGCTCTGCGGGCCTGCGGTCACCTGGCCCCCGGCCCCACACGGACGGGACATGTCCTGTCCCACCTGGTGTGGGAGCAGGTGGCAGGTCCCTGGGGGGCTCACCCGACAGAGGGGCTTCGAGGTTTTGGGTCGTGCGGGGGCCGCGGGGTCCCCCGTGAACGTGCCCCCTTGCTTGCTCTGCTCCCTGTGCCTGGCGCCCACAGAGGGCAGTGGCTGCGGGCCGGGGCCAGGCGTGGCGGGCGGGGTCCCCCTGGCCGGCGGCTGACCTCTCCTCTCTCCCCAGGGCAGGGCGGGCTTCGCCGGCCTCCCCGTACGTGGCCCGAGGTTGGGTGGCCGAGGGGCCCGAGCGAGGGGCCCGGCAGGCGCCCGGGGCGCAGCCCCTCCTCTGGGCCGGTGCTGGGGCAGCCTGGCCGCAGCCCAGGCCACCCCCTCGGGCGGCCACACCCTGACTGCTGTCACCCACAGGGACCCGCCGGGCCGAAGGGCAGTCTGGGCTCCCGAGGCCAGCAGGGCCTCCCGGGACCCAAGGTGAGGCCACGAGGGGCTCGGGGCGCCGGCTGGGGTGCGGCCCGCTGGGTTCCCCTGGGGGTGCCGGCCCCCCTGACCGCACCTGCTGTGTCCAGGGTGAGAAGGGTGAGCCTGGGACCGTCTTCGGCCCTGACGGCAGGGCACTGGCCCCCACCCAGAAAGGAGCCAAGGTGAGTCCAGGCGTCTGGTCTCCCCGGTGGGGCTGGGGCTGGCTTCCGGGGGGCGCTGCCCACCCCGGAGAGCCGGCCTGGCCCTCGCCCTTGCTGTCCCTCTGCTTTCACGGCCACGGAGGGGCTGCCTGCTCAGATGCGCCTGCACGAGGGCTCTCCAGCCCTCTGTGGGAGGCCGGGGCCAGTGCGGGGCCCAGGCTGCTGGGGGCCGCTGGCCGCAGAGAGGTGGAGCTCGCGGGCCCCAGGCTGACTGCGGGGAGCGGCCGG